CCACGGCTCGGTGCTTTAATTTCTTCAAATCGAAGTTGTACGCCAGAAATTGATACCTCCGTTACACCGTCCATCGATCCGACCGATTCTCTTTACAACCTGTCTGTCATCGAATTTGCCAATAATACAGATAATTCAAAGAGTACAGAAACGAACAGAGATTCCACTTTAAATAGACGAACGCTAAATTATTACACATAAAGGTGGAAAAATTTATATAGCGATTTATAATTTATTCTAATCGTAAACTCGCACGAGGAAAGAAATATTTTTATATAGCGTTTTTACGTAAGATTATTTAATACAAAATAATGGTAACTGAAAGAATTTATTTGACAAATAATATAAAAGTCGAACGGAAAGTGTATTTTCATAATAAAATTTATTTTATTTATTCTGAGAAGCTGCATATCTGAATAATATCAAAGAGGAAAAAGCTGGTCTGTAACGTTAAACTGAATAGCGAGAGAGGAGATGTAACATGAAACTCCTCCGAATTCCTCCGGCCAGAAAATAAAAGGATAGAAATAAAATTCAATTTGCTACCAGGCATCGTGGCGGATAGCTTAACGAGGCAATAAATATCGCGTGTGTCCAGGGAAAGAAGGCGAATCATTTGGATCCCGTACTCGATGCTGCTGGCATTTGGGCTGCTCCTGGTGCTGTCGGACGCCGGAGCTGTTCACCAACAATCGAACCTCCTCCTACCGTTCCCGAACGTCTCGTTTGGATTCGCCAAGGCCGCAACTAATCGCGGTATTTCAGTCACCAGGATCCTGCAGGACGGGGAACTCGAACGGGTGATTCGACTGCCTGGAATTTGCGCCAAGGAGACCATCGTCAATTGGGGGTAAATGATCTTCATCCTGTCTTTAAAAGAATGCTCTTTTTATTAGTTCTAAGAATCAAAGATCCTCTTCGAAGTTTCCTTCCTTTTTTTTTTTTCTTTTTTTTAATATTTCTTTAAATCGTAAAATCTAGGCTATTTTCAATAGCATCGAATATCTCTCGTTTAATCCTTAGCTACGGAAGAGTAGATTTATTATTTCATTACCATTTGAGAATTCGTTTATATTTTCAATTCGAGCCAAACAGTTACGTTAGATCAACCTCGTAACAGTGATTTTGATAAATAAAATTACCAAGAAGCTTAGAGTCTACGTAGCTATAGTAAAATTGCAAAAATACGAATGTCTGTGGTTGAAAATTTATTGCATCGCGCAAAGTCAATTCTCTGAAATGTTTCTGCATCGATTCCCACCTAGTCGACTCACGACCGCGTAGTATACATATTAATCGCGAATAAACTTCGTGAAAACACTCGGCAAGAATTTCTTCTTGAAACGCGAAGTTCGATTGTTTTTCCGATCGACGTTAGAGCAACATCGTAGAGCATCCTCTTTGCCTGGAATAACATTTCCTTCAACTAGGAGGGAACAAATCTCCCGAAGAGGCAGCATCTCACGACTACAACCCTCCCGGTGAAACCGTAGGAGTCGGTGTTAGCGAAGAGGAAAACAATGCCTCCTTTCAGCATTGCCAATACGCGTGGGAGCCACGAGACTGGCTACGTATGCATTTAACTTTGGTTACCTCTTTCAATACGCCGCGCGTCGTCGTTTTTACATCGACTAACTGATACCGGGCATACGTTTGCAGTTTACTGGACGCGCGTCCTTGTCAGCCGGAAACTGCATAGAATTACCACAGCGCTAAATCGAGTCGGTCGGCTCTTTTTCTTTAAAAAGAGACTCGCGTATTTCCCACGTGAGTGTGCCTCTTCTCGCGGTTCTTTCTTTTTAAAGATCCAATGCGTCCAGATGCTTCTTCTCCCTTGAAGATTTACGACCAAAGGTTTAGAAAATAATAGAAAGATTTTCTCGCGGAGAAAAAAATTGAAAAATTGTTCGATTCGTCACGGTCCTCGAATTTTCATCCGAATCGATGATTGATTTCAAACGAAACAATAACGTTAGATATTCCGGTTGAACTGATCGCATGGAAAGATTTTTTTTTTTATTTAAGAAACGATATTATACCTTGAAAGACGAAAATTAAAAGCGAAGCGTACTTTCCAGCATGTAATAGATCGTACGACGATGGTTATATCGTGTTTTGTTAAATTTTCGGATCGAAAACAATTTATCGCGTACAGCCGTGGACAGCGACCGCTAAGCCAACCGAGGCCTTAAGCCGAAAAGCGGCAAGTTAAGTAAGCAAGGATTAGGTGGAAGCAGGAGACCGAACATCGAGAACGGTCCCAGAGCTGCTGGCCTCGGACCAGCGGTTGTAACTCATCTGCGGATACTCTCACGAGGATACCAGGGAATTCCACGACCGCGAAACGTCACCTTGCACTTAAATCGGTGAAAGCTCTTTTGCTGTAACGAGAAAAGCACGCGGCTTGCCTGTTCTCATGATTCGCCAACGACACCATCGTTCTCGAACCATCAATTCTTCAACGAGAAACGAAATCTTCCGATTCGATGAATACGTTAGAGAACTCCAATCCTTTCGGTTTACGATTTCTTTGGTAACTATTTACACGTTTGATTCGTAGTAACGAGTCACGATTGTCAGCTAGATGAAGAATAACGAAGAACGATTTTATTTGTATCAAAGTTCGCAAAATGTGAAATTAAAAGGTGAAAAAATAGCATCAGGGCTAAAAGAATTGGTTGAATGGTTCTCGCTCTATGTTTAATTGTAAATAGTATTATAAGGTTTGTAATAGGTTTAAGTATTGTAAGGTTTATAGATAGAAGGTTTAAGTTAGATTGTAAAGGTTTAAGTATTGTAAGGTTTATAGTTTCTTAATCGTTCAGAGTGATTCATACGTAACAAATAGACGAAAAGACACGTATTGGAACGAGAACACATGGACGGAACATTGTTATCGTGGAACAGCCGTCGACGAATTTAACGACGACCATTTAACGTCGAAGATGTTTATCGACGAGTTGAAAAGAAGGCGGGGGAGCATCAATCATAGCTACGCGTTAATCACGAGGAAGTATCGTGCAACGCGTGCGTGTGATCGATCTAGCGTGAATTACACGGGCATCGCGTTAGGGTTTTAGCTACTTTAAACGAGCGTATTAAATTAAATAATAAGGTGCGTCTCTTCCTGTATCATTCGTCGTCGATGCGAAAAGAACTAACAACTAAAAAAACGCTAAGAAGGAAAAAACTCAAGCTACTTGAGAAGGGTATTTTTCGCGTTATATGCAACTAAAAGTTTATTAAAATTCATGTTAGGAAAAGATAATTCATTTTCTAAGCTTCGGCATGTATCGTCGTAACATTTTTAAATTGCAGTGATTTAAATAATAATTCTATTCTTCATAATACATGTATGACTGTGATAGAAATACGGACGTAGCACTGAGGCAGGTCTGGCTACAGGAGACGGCCAGAAAGGTGCAACTGATATACGAGGGTGGCACGCTTACTGACTGTGTGGACGAGAAACTCGACGTCGGTGACGAGAGATCCTGCACATCAAGCACGCACTTGGACGACGATTACGGCGATGAAACGTCCATCGAACTGTTCGATGTGGACGATCAGGAGGACTCGTCGAGGATCCCGCAGGACCTCTCCTGGCTCTCGTCCACGTCGGATCTACGTCATCGGTGCACCCACGTAAGGAACAGGGCGCGAAATCAATTGATTTCACAACATCGACGAAGGTATAAAAACTATAATAAAAAGAAAATGTATGAAATATAGCATAGAATAAAAAACTGTGATCCTGTTTTATGGTATCATCTAAGAATATAACGAAATATATCGAGGTTCGGTCATCGAATCGCTCTGGATAGAAATAACGAATAAAATCATGGATAAAGGTTTTTTAACCAGTCTATCTCGATGTGCTAGTTAACTTCTTTCTTCAAATATACCATAAAGACAGTTGCAGCTTTGCTAAATCGATAAATCGAATTTCTAAAATAGGAGAATTATCTACTTGTCGTACTTGTTACAGAGATAGAGAGAGAGTTTTCAGTTTTTCTTTATATATCACGTAATACAGGAAATACTCGAAGCTTTTAAACGGAACGAGCAGCAGTCACCGCCAGAGACGAGGTAAGAGCCGCTCGCGAAGGGACTTGTTGATGATCCCAGGGACACAATGGTGCGGCCGCGGTCATCGGGCCACGAAATACACGAATCTGGGCGGTTTTGGCACAGCAGATGCCTGCTGTCGCAGACACGACACGGCCTGTCCTTTTTTCATTCCGGCTTTCGAGACGCGCTACGGTCTTTTCAACTGGGGTATCTCGAGCATGATGCATTGTGCCTGTGACGAACGGTATCGAACGGTATCGATTACAGTATTGCTTTGCTAACTGGCCTCGAATCGGGCCAATTAATTATGGAAGATCTCTGTCAAGGTCCTGTTGCATTACTCGATTAATATTATTATTATTATCGATTGATATTACAATACGTAAGTTACAAATTATCGATGCTAAGAAGTTTCGCGTGAAATTGATAGAGAGATAGAGTTTAGCTGGAATTTCCTACAAGGACGCTTTCAGTTCAGTTAGATGCAGCGTTCACACACAGAGATTTTCTAACAGTGTGAGATGCTTGCAGTACGATACATCGAAGAAGCGTATTTCGCACAAACGATCTCCAACTATTGCATTTGCATCAAACGTATGCGTTTTATAGGAAATTCCATCCTTAGACGGCAATAGCCGAGTTGTCTAAAGTTGTCAGTCAGTCTATATAGAATCAGTTGAATGTCGGAATTCGGACGTCGATGTCAGACGAACGAAATAAAAAAAGATACATTTTCAAGAAGTAGCTTCAAGAGTAAAGATGTGCAACTCTTAACGAGATAAAATTTTGGCCAGTTAGCAAGACAATCTGTAGATTCAAATGAACTTATCAAAGACCAATCCGAATGCGAATCGAACTTATCAGATTCTTTGTCATATTTACAGATTTCGTACGTGTTTAAAGATGGCAGACACAGCATCCGCGAATTTTATCGGCAAAATCTTCTTTGACGTTCTAAGAACGAAATGTTTTATATTGAAACCGCAAAAGGTTTGTACGAAATGGTCCTGGATGGGCAAATGCCAGCATCACGAATACCGAAAGCAGGCTCATGTCCGTGAAAATGTTCCTTATCATTAAATTAAATGGAAGAGATTTAAAAAGAGAGCGACGAATGTTTGAGAATATTCTTTTTCTAGAGATGTCAATACCAATTCTCAGGGATGTAATAGTTTATCGAGAGTATTCGATCATGACCCGATCGGTCATTTTTCGACAACAGATCACAGATAAAAGCAGTCATCCTCTTTGACCGTCTGAATGACAGAATGACAATACGTAGTGGTCGCTATAGAAAGTGTAATCATTAGAGTAGATTGACGACAGTTTTATATCATATTTCAGTTCCTTGGGTCGATTCTTTGTAAGATCGAGTTAATCATCATTTATAATTGTAAAGTTAATTGGTCGAGTATCTAGAATCTTTCAAACATATCAACTACGAAAATTATATGATGCAGATTTACTTATATAAAAGTGGTTTATATTTAATTTTTCATATTTGCAAGGTCAGATTCGTTTTAGACTGCTGATTTTTACTTAGTGGCTTAATGGTAAAATGAAATGAAACGGAGAAATGAAATCGTTCGAAATAGACAGGGTATCATTTTTATTATCTATATACTAACTATGTAGTCGTTATTGTCTTTGAAAATGCCAAATAAATTATTCTGTAGATAAATTATAATAAAATTGTACATATCATGAGTAGCATAATTTTTCAAGTATAAAAAAATTAGAAAAAATCGCTATATTAACAAGTAGTTTAGAAAATGAAAAAATCTCTTTCCTACAAAATTGTTGACTCTTGTAATTAGAAATCTGCGTAATAGTTCACTTACTTTTATCTTATTTTCTTGGTTATGTGTACAATAACGCTGATTCCGCGTTAATTGTGCTCGTGCATGTATTCTGTATGATTGTATTTATGTATGAATGAGTTATGTTCGTGCGATGTAAAAATGTTGAAAAGAAAATCAAGATTGTAACGATACAAAAGTATTTAAATATTGAAATATATGCTGTATTTAAATGCGACATATAAAAAATAAGTGTAATAAGTTAAATATGCAATATCTCCTCGTATTGTATAAATGAAAATAATTCATAGATATATAAATATAAACTATCAAAATTCTTAACAGTAGGTACATCGTTGTAAATATGTATAATAGTGATATAGTACTAACATATTTAATAAAGGATGCATTATAAAAATAATTAGAATAAAACCTTGTGAAAATTATCAAAATTCATATACATAATATCTTTTGCATCTTCCTCTACAACTATTCGGGATTTGGATTCGAATTCAAAGTCGAATTTGGCGCGCTATTAAATGCGCACGTGTTTCCGTTATTCCACTTGCACAAATTGCGCGCGGTTTATCTGTTTATATTATATTACCTGTTCTGTAAGAAAATAAACGTTTAAAACTGTTAATCCTGTACGAATAATCGAAATTTCTAGTATTACAAACTTCTCCTGCCTCGTATTAAATATAGTGCATTGATAGAAAAGATTAAAATCTATTTGTCAAGCAATATAAGACATTTGGAAGGAAAGATGCACGAAAATGAAGTGAGAACAAAGCATGGTAAAATCGCTTGCTTGTCGTCGGAATTAGATTTAGGCATTACGTTAAAAGGCGGTCAAAGTTTCAGGTAATCTTTTTAATGGCATAATTAATCTTTTAAAAAAACATAACCAATATTTTTTTAGTACTTCTCACTTGTCTAACATAATTTTCCCGCGAGCTTTGAAATAACATAATCTTGCTTCCTACAAATAACGTAAAAAATAATTTTTATAGATGGTTTAATTACAATAATGGATATAGAGGAGTCTTTGGTGGATATGTTTGGACTCTTACGCAACATGATAATTATCTATTCTACAATGTACAAGGCCCACTAGTAGATTCTAAAAATTATGACACGATTCTGTCTGACTACTTCAGATTGAACGAGTGTTTAAAAGACCTGTGCGAAAAATGGACCGCTGCGGATCCACATTTTAAAGAATCGTTAAACAAAACAAATGGTGTTAGAATACTAAATCAAGATGTTGTTGAAAATGTATTTTCTTTTATATGTAGTTCTAACAACAATATCCAAAGGTTTGTAAAGTAAAATGGTTTAATTTATATATCATACGTTTAAATACATCATTATTTTAGGATATCAGGAATGGTAGAAAAATTATGTATGTTCTTTGGTGAAAAAATTTGCTCAATCGAAGGCAAAGATTATTACAAGTTTCCATCTATTGAGGCATTAGCAAGTAAAGATGTTGAAAGTAAATTAAGAGAAGAAAAATTTGGATATCGTGCAGAATATATAGTAAATACAGCAATGCATTTGATAGATCTTGGTGGAAAACAATGGCTTTCAAATTTACACAAAAAGAATAATACATCATATGCTAAAGCTAGGGAACAACTAATTATTCTTCCTGGGATTGGTCCAAAAGTTGCAGATTGTGTATGTTTAATGTCATTAGGTCACTTAGAGGCTATTCCTGTAGACACTCATATCTTCCAAATAGCTAGGGCAAGGTATTTACCTCATTTAAAACAATATAAAACTGTCACCCCAAAAATTCATGCAGAAATTAGTAACTATTTACGCGAATTATGGGGTCCTTTAGCTGGATGGGCTCAAGCTCTTGTCTTTTGTGCAAAAATTAATGATATTTCTGCTCGTACCAGATCGCGTATCAAGCGTAAAAATAGTACAAGTAGCATGTTACGAAATCTTAAGAAATTTTAATAATACTTTTACTTAATATTTAAAAAAATCGGTATATGCATTACATTACATTTTTACAAAACTCTATAAAGTCATATGAAATTTTCTATCTGTGAAGGAATAATTCGTTTTTAATGTACATGTTTACAATGATCGTTTTTATCTATAAATAAGAAATTTTACAACTAATTTGAGGCCACGTCTGTTGTCCACATTCTCTCACCTACTTTTCCTCCTTTTCATACTCATACCCACTAGTACAAAGTCAAAGTCATCTAGAATTACATGATCTGTTAGAAATTGGGGTTCATCCTTCTCATTCTCATCGTTTCTGTCTGAAGAAAAGAACAACATTTAAAGTATAAATTATTAATTGCACATTTCTTTGTAAATAACTTACTTGAGTGAGTTTTTAATATATCTGCAAAAATGCTCTGAGTAAGGTACCGTAATCCAGGAATCATAGTTGATAAATATGCTCTATGTGATGATTTTAATACTGACAAACAAGATACTGATAAAGAAGCTGGCACAGAACAGCTATGAGTCAATTTCATCGTACTGTGTGCAGCTGTGGAACATACCATAGGATATAACGCGAAATCCTTTAATCCAGTAAAAGCAATACCTAAATCATAAAATATTGTAAGGAAAAATATAAATACGTTGATATTTGTAATATTATGAATTTACCTAGTGGCTTCCTGTTAAGAAAAAATTCTAGGGTGCCTCTCCATGTATCCAAGTATACCCCTACCAAGCTACCTTGCCCGAAACAAGTGCCATAATCACGTTTTATACCAGCATGTTGTATATATCCATGGTAAGAAAAACCAAAAGATTCTTTATCACGCCCAAGAAAGGAACAGAAGTAATCCTGTGCACTATTTAAATTCACATTACTTGTACCAACTCCAACCATCTGAAAATTTTGCATTATTAATAGAAACAATATGTAGATTAAATGTCATTAATTTCTATTGAAGATACTTACAATGTCGGTTCCATAAATACAAGAAAGCATTTTAACTTCCCAATAATGATGCCTGCCTTTTTCTAATAAGTTTGTACCTCTCACAGCTGCTGTACCATAACTATAGCCATTGTGAAATTTAACTTTTAAATTATTTTCAGATAAAACGATAGTAGATGTATCATTTTCTTTGTTCCATGTCCATTCATGCACTAGGTAAACAAAAAGATAATATTTATGTGAATTTTGGTAGTATTTGTGAAAAAATTGCATTTAAATTATTAGACTCTTACTAATGAAAAAAGAAAGAAAAATGAGAATCATTTAACGCTATTTTAAATATCTTATCATACCATTATTTTCTCCGCAACGACAGTTAGTCAGTGAAGTACAATTACAGAACCTTGCATACGGCCATGTAGGGTTATACTCGAAATACATAATTCTGCAATTATAATATTTCCACTGTTCTTCAACTATTCTTCTACAGTAAATTATCGCACTACACTATATTATTGTATTTTGATTTACTTATGATCAATCAAGATATCAGATATAGATCAAATATAGATCAGATATGATGATATGCTAATCTAATGATTCTACAAATATTCATGTACATAATGGCAACGTGTACAAACCACGTGTAAGTACTTATATATGATAAACTCGTCACGATTAAATTTGTATGTAAATTGTTTGAAAAATATGAAAAAATAATATATAATAATAATATTGTCATAATGATAATGAATAACACAAACTATATATAAATGTACATTTTTAGTATTTTCTAAATTTTATTGACTTACATTTGTAAAATATTTAGTCATTTAAAAAAAACTAGATAATAAATTATACATGTATTGTAATCGGGTTAGTTTTAAAAATTATATACAGTGACGTAAAAGTAATATGAAAACATTTGATAATTGAAACACGCGGTACAACATCTGCAAGCATGTAAATTGAACGCTTTACTACTTCTAGGTTGGTAGAAATGTTTCGATCGAACTCAGAGCAAATTCCGTCTTCTTCTGATATTACGCAAGAAGCCAATCGTGCAGCCTTGCTATCATATTCAATTCAGTAACATTTCGTCGAAAAAATGTTACGATTTGTGGGAAGACAAGCAAATAATATCATAAGAAATTCTCTACTATCACGCGCTACAGTTGTAAGTCGAAATGTTCGTGCCTCCCACGATGGCCCAGAAGAAAGTGAGGAGGAATTTAATAAGCAATACGTGAATTATCTAAGTCGTCCAGATCTCGATCACTGGGAAATTCGTCGAGTTTTTAACAAATTAGCGGGTCAGTAATTGCGTAGTTATATCATACTTTACAATCACAATTATTTTTTAACAATTTAAATGACAATCATTTCGAGTAATTTAAATCGAACAGTAACATTCTATTTTCAAAAAATTTGTTTTCGAATGTTCTTCCTTATTTATTTAAATAGTCAGATTGAAATAACTATTATTGTAGCGATATTATAATAATTGTTCTAACAGTCATTGTCTTTTCAGGTTTAGATCTTGTACCAGATCCAGTTGTTATTTGTGCTGCATTAAGGGCTTGCAGGAAACTGAATGATTTTGCTCTTGCTATCAGGATTTTGGAGATGGTAAAGGATAAATGTGGAGGCAAACTTAAAGAAATTTATCCTTACATTTTACAAGAAATCAGACCTACATTAGATGAATTAGGTATCAATACCCCAGAAGAGCTTGGTTATGATAAGCCTGAATTAGCGCTTCAATCCATTGATGATATACATTAATTATTGATTTTAAATTAATAAACATAGTATATACGCTTAGAGGTGCTTTCTATTAGACTTGTCACAAATAAACAAAAAATCAATTTTTAAATCAGGATAAAAGAATACCAATTGTCATGTCTCTTATTCAATATTGATTTTGACAAATATTTATCATATGTCATATCTGTTTCGTACATGAAGCATATTGTTCATGAATTGGAAAAATATATGAAACATGTATTGTTTATATATTGCTTTTCAAGACTTTATCGTCTTAATAGATCATGAAACAAAATGATATGTATATATTATATTTTAATTGCAACTTCTATTGGTTCCTTATGTTGCCTTGAAATTTTTAATATTTTTCAAGTTTCCTTTTTTTTACCTTTTTACATCAAAAGTAACCAAAGCAGAAAGGTGACACAACAATGACATATGTACAAATTACATTGTAAGATACACAGTGGTAAAGTCATGTACACATACATCTATAATTATCTAAAATGGTATTACATTCTTTTCTCAAATGACATTAAACTTAATTTATGTCCTGTGTGACTTCTTACAAACAAGAACAAAAAAATACAACATGGTCTTACATGGGAGTATCAATATATTACATCTTGTATGTAATGGCCATAGTTTTAAAAAACAATATAACAATTAATATCTAGTCATTGCGATCTGTTTTCTACTGATAATTATTAAATTTATCTACTTTCTCCTATAATGTTATAAAAACCTTCTTTCTTTTTGGTATCATTCATACTTAATGTCGAGGGCAGTTTGTTGTTTCAATGTTACGACTCTGCTCTTGACATACACTTTTTTAAAGAGAAGACTGTACTACACACCTACAGGAACTTCATGATCATCATTCATGATAGAGACACATGTACTAAAAGATATTAATTAAACAAATATCACAAATTCATTATTAGTTATCATCTGAAAACAATATATATATATGTGTGTGTATGTGTGTGTGTGCGCGCATGTGTGCATATACACACACATACCTATATATATACGTATGATGCACACAAAGATACTAAAAAATATAAAAATGTAAATAAAATCGTCAGAATAATGAAATTCATTTTCGGTAGTCAATCACATATGCTTGCAATACTTGATACCGCAACATTGAAACAAGATTGCACAGAAAAAATAATATTCTTCCTAACATTAAATATATTGTATAAAAGTGAGTTGGCATTTAAATGCATGAAAACATTTTGATTTTTTTTTTCATTAATAATCAAAATAAATAGATTACCTGAAAATGAAAATAAAGAACAATAAGCGATTCTCCATTTCTACATTCTGCACACTATCAGAGTAATACAGAATGGAAATGGAAGAATTTAATTGTCATTTTTGTGAGAATTATGTATATAGTGTTCTTTATAACATCACCTAAAAATAATTTTCTAATATAACATAGTATTAATATGATAAAAGTAATTATGTTTTTTGGATGTGTACTTCAAATCCATATGTCTTATTTTTCAAAAAATTATGTCTTATAGCCTATTTGTACCCGTCAGAAATGCTTAATTTTTTTTCATTTATCTCTACTGTCGATTATTAATGTATATTAATATGTATCGTTATATATCTCTATCGCCGAAAAATGACTCATCTCCATATCTCAATTTATCATAAAAATAGGCTACATATTACATTTTGTTTTAATCCGATAGCCAAATTGGATTAACTCAAAAATTACATTTAGTTCGGAATCCTGCTACGAAATGTGAATTCATTTTTCATTGAACTTCAAAAAGGTTTTTACATATGACAGATCTTTCCATAAATATTTTTGAAACCATAAGCGACTTTTGAGACTTGATTTTGTCTGAAAAAATAATCTATCATTAACAAGTTTAACAAATAAATTCGAATAATATAGTTTACAGCATCAACTCGTTCAATTAAAGTCCTTTTTAGATCATTAGTTCGATGTAATTAAATTATATAATTTGTTAGTAATCATCTCTTTCGTAAAATAGTTTAACACAAATTTAAAATTCTTTGGTATATCGATCGTTCTTAAGGACCCGATACTAAGACTAGATGAAAATATTTGTATCCGTGTTTGCTTATTGGAAAATGTTAAATATCCAGACGACGGATACTATCACTATAAATACATCGATGAAACTTTGCATATTCAACGATTTTCATTCATCGAGCGTCGCAGTACTTTCTAAAAATTAGTACTATCTTCGAGAAATTGAATTACAAGTGAATACTTCTAAGTGTCTACAATGAATCTTGAATACAAATATGATTACATTCAAGTCCAATGAGTCATCGAACATTCAATCATTTTCACTCTCCAAACATATTATTCATTTACTATTCATTTACTGTTTCTCAACAAGAGAACACACTATACGATGATTCAGAAAAGACACAATCATCTCCCTTAATATTAATAACACATATCATTTCTAATACTCTCACTCTTCTTCTCATGAACACCACTAATGTGCACCTGTCGCATTTTGGTGTTAACATAAAAGCTTTGTATTAACTATGTAAAACGCTTTATTCTGGACTAGAGACGGTTTGTTGTTGTTGACTATCCTCATCTTTTACAACTTCGGCTTGCATAGCCTTCGTGAGGACATTAGCATCTTTTAATGATATTACTTGAAGAACTTGATGTTCACCTGCGGCATTTATCATTGTCATAGGATGCCCTTGAATAGTGACAGCTTCAATGCTAGCTTCCCCATTTCCAGGCTCAACCTTTGGGACTTGAACCATTGGTGTGACTACTTGCATCGTACCGTCACTTTGAATATTGGCAACCATAGTTTGATACATACTAGCAGATACTGGTACTGTTATCACTCCTGAGACGGAAACAGGATAGCCTGAAACAAAGAAGTAACTGTCCTGTGTTCTGCCCTTGACCAGGCATTTTTCTCTCTGTATAGCAAACTGGGAATTAAAAAGTCAAACTTAATAATTCGAAGAGCACGTATTCGTACGTGTATTTTCGATATCGACAATTTTTTCGGATTTGTGCGTTCATGCTACCAGTTTACGATACAGTCAGA